TTTTAACACGAACATCCATTACTGAGCGTCTTAGGTCAGACGATACGATTATCAAATCGATCGTCGACCTCTGTGCTAAAGCTTCCCGGTACCATGTGTACTGATGCACTTTTCGATGCTCGAAGAAGGTGTTCATAACAGACAATCCTTTGCTCAAAACCGCAACAACTTCATGCCGTTGAGGTCGCTAGGGCCGTTTTTACCAATCACGCCGTTCCACTTTTCAGTGTCTACTCCGGCGTGCGGATTAAAGTTGCCCATGAGTATGAGGGACTCTGTATTCGGCACTTCGGACAGAGCACACTGCGCTTTCTCAAGGAAGATATCATATTCTCCCTCGAAATTGGACGTATAGACCTGTACTATGGTTAACGCTTTAGCTTCTTGTAGCTTCAGTCGGAAGATCACCACCGTTCCGCTGACAGGCTACCAATCAATCATTATATCTGCGAGGTTAGGTTCTACAAGAACTCCAGCATTGGCTTTAGCGCGCGAAGTGGCAAAGACACCTGAGCAGAATGGCTCTCACCCGCTGAGGTTGAGTGTCTTGGCGCTTCGTAGACGAGAGTCCAACAATGTGGAGTTGGTACTTTATGGCCTCATCAAATAACTTTTGTTCCCACCGTCTCAGTGAAGATATATCCCAATTTCCGATTGTAGGGTCATACTTTCGGTGTCGCTCTCTAGGGCCTGTTCTGACGTGCTATAATGGTCGCGCTGTCTGCCTCCTCTGTTCAGAGCGGGTAGCGATTCTGCTGCTGACTGGTATCATCGTCATCGCCCGTCGGTCTTCGTCAGCCGTTGTTGTGCTGCTACGCCCCCGGCTGGCAGAGGACGATGAGCAGGTTCTGATCGCCGACTTTCCGCAAACTGCCTCATTCACCCAACAGCCTGCGCGGCCTTTGGTAACTCAGGCGACGACCGAGCCGGTATAACTTTAGATGGCATCAATACCATAAGTGGCAGATCGTTAAATTTTACGGAGACTTTGCCATGGTCTCCAACCCTCCTCCTTTCTCAATCGGGCTTGAAGATAACCTTCCTCCAACCCTGAAGCCGGCAACGGCGGAGTTATATCCATCAAGATGATATCCATCCTTATAAAAGTCAACATCAGAAGCACTGCGGTTAGGTACTGCACCGCATGTCTGCTCTGCAATACCCCCAGTGAACAACTGCTATAACAAAAAGGATAAGTAAGCAGTCTATAAAAGCAGTGATACTGAGCATGTTGGGAACAACGTGGTTCACACAGATTAAAGACACTGCCTTCTCATGAGTCAGCCACTCAACAATCCAGCAGTATGTGGCAATCGTTTATAGGAACTGACGGCCAACGCGCGTGGCTTAAGGACTACTTCAGCTAGATGATCGGTAACCGAGAAAAAGAAGAGAATACACGGCGATCTGTTATGAAGATGAATACTATCTCTGTTGTCGCAGCACAGCCAGAACGTTGCAAAACGGTAGAGGTGGTCATCACGAATCTCGCTGGCGGCCTGCTGTTGTGCTGCGAGGCAAAATTTCGTGCCAATAAAAAGACAAAATTCTCCCTAAGCCATGTCTAACAAACACAACAAGGCAATATAGTTCAACTTCTTAAAAGAGTTATTATCGAAACACCAAAAAATATACTTACACTTCCGAAGTACTTATCCAGCAGTTCGACGTACCGGTGGATCACTTCCAAGCATATCAGCTCGTTGTCAGTCTGCTCAATGGCACAGCAAAAGTAAAGGCTGGCATACCGCTTATATACGATCTTCATGTCGCGGTACTCGAGAAAGGCAGACATCTTCGGCTTGCGAGCCAGGATCGTCGTGATCAAGTCACGCATGACCTTTTTCTTCATTTTCTCCGTATAAGACACACACCATTTTTGCAAACGTAGCTTGCCTTGACGACTAAACAGCAGCATAAACTGCATCTATGCTGAAAAGCTGTAAATTTGAAACCATCAATTAATCAAATTTCTTACCATCT